TATAGAGTATATAAAAAACTATAGATTAGGAGTAATAGGAGCTTTAGTAGAAGGGTATATTAAGAACTTAGGCCTAATAAGGTCTTAAGCTTAGTTTAATAAGAGATAGCTATAGTAGACTAACCCTGGTTAGGCTATTATAAGTAGTATATAAAAGGAAGAGCTAGGTTTTCTAGGAACTTTTTCTTTTTCCTCTCTAAGAATATAGATACTAAAGTTAATATCTACTTATAGCTACTATAGGGCTAGTCTGTTATAATCTTAATATAAAGCTTTCTAACTTAGAAGATTAAGATTATTCTTAATAGTTTAAACTACTTTTATTTAATACTAGAAAAAAATCTATTAAACTATTAGTTTATTTTTATTTCTAAGAAGCTCTTTTTATTATTTAATATTTCCTTTTATTCCTTTTATACTATTTTCTTTTTCTTTTTAATCTTACTCTTAATTAACTCTTCCTTTTTAATTCTAAGATCTTTATTCTAATTTTTATTTTTTATATTAGCTTACTTTTATTTTATTAATTTTAGATTTAAGTTCTTCTAATTAAGGGATTTTATTATCTTTTATATCTAATAAAGTTATTATAAAATAAATTTATCTTTTTCTAAAGATATCTTCTTCTTAATCCTTAGATATACCTTTAATATAATAAGAGCTTATACTAAGCTATTTATTTTATTAAGAAACTAATAGAGTTCTATAATTCTATAGACTTTATATAAATATTTACTAATAAAATTAATCTTTCTAGATCTAAGTTATAGATAAAACCTTTATCCTACTTAATTAAACTATTTATTCTATATATAAATCTAAATAATATTAGAAATAAGTTTAGCTTATAAATTAAACTTAATCTAAATATAGCTAAATTAGATATTAAACTTCTTAAGCTAAATTAGTAAGTTCTTTATATATTATTTATATTAACTTAGTTTATTATAATTTTATATAGAGAATTCTATTAAAAAGAGATAAACCTTTAGTTATAGTATATAGATCTTCTTTTTTATTAGTTTATATATATTCTTAGTACTAATCTACTTTACTTATTTACTTTTATCTATTACCTTAAGAAGTATAAAAGGCTTTAGATTTTATAAATAGATTATTAGAATTATAAAGATATAGCTTAATTTTAGAATATTTAGTTTATTTTTAATAACTTTAGGTTTAATTTCTACTAAATTAGTACTTTTAAACTTATATTTTAGCTTTTATTTTTAATTTACTAAATTCTAAACTATTCTATCTATAATTAAATAGATCTTATTATTATTAAGATCTTTTAAAATAAGTATAATAGAAATTATTTTAAGTTTTAAACTATAGATTAAATAGAAATTAAACTAAGGAATTTATTAACTAAAGAAATAATATATTTTATTATTATATAAAGCTATTATAAATTATATATAATAGATATAATAAAACTATAGAATATTATAAAAGTTTATAAAAGTTTATATAAAGATCTTTATAAAAAATATCTTAATTCTCTAGATAAATAATTTATTCTTCTCCCTATTAAACTAATCTAATCTTTATCTTATTCTTCTCTATTTACCCTTATTAAAATACTTATATTAACTATTAAACTACTTACTATTAATTTAATAATAATATAATTATTTAACTACTATCTAAAGATATCTCTATTTTTTCTTTTTAATTAGTATTCTAAAAAAATAATAGAATTTAATACTTACTTAAAAAATTATATTTATTTACTTAGGAAGAATAAATATAGTTTATATATATACTAAAAGTAAGCTATAAATAGTAAATATAGCTATTAAATATATCTTTTCCCTATTAGTAATAGGAATATAGTATATTTTATTTTTCTCTAAAGAGATAAATTAATATAGTATTAATATTTTATAGTTATATTAATTCTAACTGTTTTATAACTAGATAGTTTTATTTAGCTTATTTATTTAATTATAGTATATACTAGATTAACTTCTCTTATATTAAGTTATCTACTTTTACTAGCTAAATTAATTATACTTTTACTAAAACCTAGAAAGTTAAACTTAAAGTATTCTAAGACTATAGGCTTAAATATAAAATAATAGGTAGGGAAATCTCTAGTTATAGTATTTTAGCTAATTTTATATAGGATTTTTTTAGAAAGAAGGATTACTAAAACTCCCTGCTATAAAGGTATATAGTATTTTATTAAATACTTATTTCTAATAGAATATTCTCTTATTTTTATATTTCTAAGGGTATAACTAAGATAGGGTATCTCTATTATAAATTTCTACTTTAATTTTTTTATTAATATACTTACACCTATCATCCGCCGTACCTTGGCTTCCCAAGCTCCAGCCTCGAGATCGGCCTCCCAAAATATTTTTAAGGTGAGACAGACGACATGCCTTGGGCGATTCTGTGCAGGGGACGGCGATGCCTAATTCTTCATCGACGGGGAGGGTTGGGACGCAATGGCCAAAGGGCCCCTCCCCTGTGCATTATCCAAACGTACCCATAAGATGAAAGGGAAGCAAGGGAAGGTCAGGAAAGGTCAGGACAGGATCCAACAAGCACAGACCAGAGCTTCCGTAATGATGGGTGGCAATAACTGCCGCTGATGGTCCAGAATATTGTCCCCAAAGAGTATGGTAGGGTGGTAGCATACCTACACTCTGTGCGCCTGTTTGATATTGGCGCCGCAACCCTGTTATTAGCAGGTACAGCAAGATACTTCGCGGTTCAATATTTGTGAGCTATTTGCACAGGGAAACACGTGAGCGCCGCGCAATACAGACACCACGTACTCCCACAGCCCCATTGGTAGCACAAGCATCCATTAATTTTAGCCGGGCCACCAATCGGTCCAGGAGACGACGACGGCCAGAGAGCCGACACCAGATGAGAATTGATGGAGCTATAGACAAGGAAGTCCCCAGCGGCCACTGATATCCCTTAATCTGCACGGGGGTGACCTATCAGGCCCATCCGTCTATTTTGACAACGCGTAATTTATCGGTTCCTGCCACGTATAATAAATCGATTAGTATACGTAGCATTTGAGCTACCCAACGCAGGTCCGATAATGCCACGCGCCCAGAGCCAGTCAGCTGGGCTGCTTCTCTCACTGGCAGCTGTTGGCCCTTGACTCATCGGAACTGTTGATCACCTCGACCTTGACTCAGCCTTAGGTCGGAGTCTTGAGAGATGTTTTTCTGGACGCAGGAATTCAAATACCGTTCTTCATAGTTGTCGATCAAGGCCGATCTAACGGTCCTGGCAAGCTTATCCAAAATTTCCTGGCGATCGGGCTGGGAGATTTCCCTGCCTCGCAACCGGGGCAAATCAGGGGCGAGGTATTTTATTCCCGCTTTCCTTTCTCAGCTCTCGATTGAAGAAGCGATCGACACAGCATGAGCAGGGCGGCTCAGCCCTATATTGATGATCGGTTAACCAGCACTGCCAAGTCAGGGAATGGCTGCAGAGGAGGCTTGGTATTTATTTAGTAGTCCGAACTCAATACAAGTCCATTCAGCCGGCTATTTGACACTTCTCGCAGCCCCTGCGTGGTTGAGTATTTTCAATTCCTGGGGAGTACTGGAGCACTCAAGTGGATCATTAGCACCGGTACATCTTCCAATAATGACCAGGCCGCTAATACTCACCAAGCCGCGATCCTTGTGTGCATCCAGCTTGTGTGCTGACCCAAGAAAAAGGGCCGCACATTAGCAGGGACAATTGGCGCACTTGGGTTCCTGCCAACGTCCTAGACCGCACCTAAGGGAGGTACCTGCTTGTACTTACCCCTGGCTAATGGATCAGCAGGGCTAGTTCTCCACATCCCGCCATGTTCCGTCCTCCGTCGCATTCACGGTTCACACTACGGCAGATTAGGAGCACACGACTTTTCCAACAAGAGTTGAGATCGCTTGTGCTGGTCTTGTCGGCCTCGCGGTGCATATCAGGACGAGGCTTCCCGTCGTGGGTGCTTGGCAGCATGGTTCACTATAGCTAGTCCTATCAGCTCCAGCATAGGCAATACTAGGAATCACTTGATGTTAGACGTTCTTGAGCCTCTAATGATGATGATGACACAGTCGTGGAAGATGAAGTTGTTGCAGTTATCAGGTATACATCGAGGCCAGCCCTCGTGTGATTACATCGGATGCCATACCCACGGTACTTTCCTCGAAACTGGCGAGGATTTGTTGAAAACGAGGGCCTTACTTGCCAAATCACCGTAAGGAAGGAGCGCCACGAAGCGTCTCCCGGGAGCCTTTCATAACTGCCAAATGGCACAGAGAAACCTTCAATCGAACATGTCAATACATCGATTGTTTTCTTGCCTTGCAACAATAACATCATATATCGATATCAATTCTTGAGCTGCTTAGAGCGAGGGCACAGCAGAGTGAGCATCTACAGCCTCCCCAGCTGCCTTCGATCCAACCCGCCCCATCATCGCTCAGCCTTCAGCCCAGGCCAGCTGTGTTCTTGATTTACTCGTATCCCTCATGAAGCTAGCTCGGATACGTGGATGTCTAGCCAAATTACGGTCACCATGGGATCCTACAAATCCGTTCGAGACATCATGGTTCCTTAGCCCACGCCAACTCTTTGTCTGCCGCTTCCTACTGGTAAGCGCAGGCCATATTGTTTTTTTCATGCACACACGCACAGACTCGCTGACCAAGCCTTGGAAGGCCATCTACCTATGGATACTCGGTATTTGGGGCTGTGCTCGGACTGCCGCCTCTCCTTACTCAACTAAAGACGCCATCACTCTTTGCTTCAAATGGTGGCCTTGGTCTCTCATGATATACTTGAGCTGTGCAGCTTTCCACACCATACGATACCATCTCGACTCGCCCTCGCTACTTGATCAACCCCATCCGTTTAACCATGCGCTGCATTCGTTCTCATATACGATCGCAATCATGTCCCCTGTTGAAGTAACCGCCGTGTGGGTGGTGCATTTGGTCCAGTTGTTATCGGGGTTTTCCAGCTTTCGAGCCTCAGACTCGTTCATTCAATGGCAAGCGGTCAGCCTTTGCGGTGTCGTTCCTATGATCGGCCTTTTCGAGATACTTGCCCCGAGGACCAACCCTATGCCGTTTGTGCATTTGGTATTCGTCATACTGTTTCAAATGGTCCGGCTCCTCATTGACACTGCGCTTCACAAAGTCGCCGCGGTTGAAGTGGCCGTCGCTCACGGCACAGTTCCTATTTTCGTATTCTGTATCGTGTGGCTGTTGGTTTACTCACGAAAACGGCTTACCGAACCCGACTACGATGACGACAGTGGTCAGACTGACCCTCGTCCTTTTTGGGAACGGATACGAGATAAGATGGCCGCCATGACCGAGGTATGAGTGATGGCATTCACACAAGGCAGACCCTATAATTCCACGGATCAAAGATAGTAGTAGCTTTAACTTTACGATAATACAGATATTTCTACAGAACTTGAAGAGCTGTTCTAGCATTTCGTCGTGAATCCCTTCCTGAGCTCTTCCTGGCGGATCTCAAACATCACCTGGATACCTACGAACAGGCATGAACATGACGTAGCCAGGAAGATGACACCTGCGAGAAAGCGTTAGAATCCCGGATATTCGAGGCAGACAGCCCACGGCGTGCATGGACAACCACTTACCAGACCAATCATGCAAGATGTTCTTGATGATAACTTCAAGACCATCCAGTCCCACAGCAAATCCAACAAGATTAGCTGAAATCATCATAAACACGTTGAAAACCGCACCCACGCAGCAAAGCATCCTATACTGCGTCGGCTTGTGCTCCCACTTCCTTTTGGGGAATAAAGCGGTGGCGGCGAACTCGGGGAGCATGAACAGAACAATCAGCCAGCCCCAGATCAAGAGCCGCATCTGGATGTCGTGCCACAACGCCACAAAGGTAAATGAAAGAAGATATGTCAAGATGGTGCGAGCGGTGGATCTCCAGGTCCGGAATGACGAGCCGCCCAGAGGCACGTAGATGTAGCGGATGAGCCAACGGTTGTAGGAGCGGTGCCAGGCGCGCCAGAAGAGCTGGGTGCTGTAGTTGTTGCTGGGGCAGCGGACCATGTTCTCGGGTGGGTCGATGCCGTCGACGAGGGACCAGAGGCGGAACATACGCCAGGGGAGGAGGAGCTTCAGCCAGATGATGTGGAGCTTGAAGAAGGAGAGGAGGCTGAGCTGGGCGGGCGTGTAGCTGCTCCAGTCGGGGTTGACGAGGCTGATGACGCCGACGTAGTTGAAGTGCAGGATGGCCTCCATGGCGAGCAGGACGAGGACGAAGCGGACGGCGTAGCGGGCCGTGCGCCAGCCCTCGATGGTCGAGGAGCGGTACTTGGCCTGGGAGATGTAGTCGTTGAATGTGATGATGGGGCCGACGAGGTAGAGAGGGGCGTATGCGGCGTACCCCACGTAGTTGCGGAAGGAGTAGTCCCTCGCCTCTGCAGGTATGGTGATCCTGTCACGCTCTGAGAGCTGGGCTGGGTTCAATTGCTTCTTCTTTGGTCCATTAGCACAAGATCATGGTTCGGAGAGGGAAGCGTCGGGTTCTTTCGTACCTCTATCGGGCTTGAGCCACGCTGGCCGAGGCTCCAGTAGTAATCCAGATTGAAGCTGATTAGCCTCAGGATGGTCAGGTTGAACAGGACCTCCCAACGGGAGATGAGGCCGCCGTAGCTGTCCAGCCACGCACCCCACGGTTCCAGCGCCGGGGCGACGTGCCTGGCGATGTCGTAGTAATGGTAGCCCCGGCACAGCTCGTTGGAGAACAGCACGGGGATGTTGAAGGCCCACGTGGCGAACGGGATGTATTTCCGGGGCAGCCTGGTCGCGACCTGGTAGTTGAGCCAGAAGATCAGGAGGACCTTGAACGCCGAGAAGCCGTGGAGCGCAACGAGGTAGAGTAGGGCGAAGGCGTAGTCGTAGGAGGCGCGCTGCTCCAGGCGGGCGGCGCCGCTCTGGCCCTTCTTCGCCGAGGGGTGGACGGCGTCCCACACCCGGCGGAGGAGCGGGTGCACGAGGAGGAGGGCGGACATGTAGGGCAGGTTGCCTCGGAAGGTACGGTATTGGGCATCGGTGTTGTCGACCTTGCGTCCGAGGATCCAGCCGTCGGAGAGGTACATTGAGTATTTCTCCCATCTCGGGTCGTCAGCTAGGTGTCAATTGCGTTAGCATCCAGCGGGGAGAGTGTGTGTCTTGTCTGGGGAGGTGGGTTGGCAGACGTACGTCCGGATACTGAATATGGGACCCAGAACATGTACGGCACGGCAATGAGGAAGACGACGTAGTAGAAGAAGAACTCGGGTGTCTTCCATTTCGACGGCTGTGCGCGGCTCCGCGACTTGGCAGCAGCCTCGGTCTTGGCGGCGGGATCGGATCGTGTGTCGATGACGGTCTGGTAGGGAGTCGTCGACGAGACAGAGAAGCGAGTGTCGAGAGCGTCGAGGTTGTAGACGCTCGTAGCGAACGACAGCAGACCCATGGTGGCTGCAGTGTGTGGGTAGATTAAGCTTGCGGTCAAACACAGCTCATTGTGTCGCCCGGATGTTGGGTACAGACGACCTTTATGTATCGAGAGAGTGTAGTGTGTCGAAGCGTGACGAGCTGCCGATTTGAAAGTGATAAATGTTGATTCGTGTGGGGGGTCTCGCAGCTCTGGAAAATGGTGGATGGACCCCTGATTCCAATCCCGACCCAGTATTACCCCCCAACAAGCCCCCTACCTCATCTGGCCCAATCGAGAGATCCTTCATTGTCAGTTCTTTGTCTCGGGGAGTCTAATTCTATTCCATGGCCTGATACATGGGTTCGCCTGTCTTATTCATCTTAACTCAGCCTCTCCGTTCTGATCCCGACTCCGGGCGAGGCGCAACACGGGATACTCAGCGTCATACCGTACGATGTATAGACGTTTATGAACAGCTCTGTGCATCGTTTCTGGGTTCGCCCCGGTTTAATTGGGACCAAGGAAAGGATCTAGAAGGAAAAGGGGTGTTCTCCTGGGAGCACGGATACACTTTCCGATACTTGGGTTAGTTGAATTGCTATATGGAATTGACCTTTGCTTGTGCATTTGTGCCTCGGCATGTTGAAGCTGTACTAAAGATCAGAAGGCCCCTAACCACACATTTCACAAGAATGGGTATGCTTTCGAATAACATATTCCAGTCAACATAGAGTAGGTATCCCTAAAATGCTAATCACGCGTCTGGAATCATTTCACGCATCCTCGACATTTCTTTTCCCGCTTGAATGCGTAAACCTCGTATCTGATAACAGTTCGCTACCCCTAAATATACACGTTAGTGTCTAAGCCACAACTACATACCCTGTAGTAAGTAATGCGTGAGAGTGAGAACCGTCTGTTTTCGATCTAGGTTAAGAAAATATAATAATATATTATCTCATCATAGATATTCTACATAATATTTTAAATTGTATCACATTCTTAGTCTGTAATATTTGATCTTGTCATGCGAAGCAGATCCACTGCTTGCTGGCATCGGGAGCAATTACAATTTGCCATTATTCCGACGGGGACTTCACCTATCTCTCACCACCGATTTTCCGATTCACTCTCAGAACAAGGCAGAACGTCAATCGGCCAATTGAGATTACGAAATCTCCTATAAAATCTATAGTCCAACAAGTACTCAAACTAGCCTTTTCTCTTTGCAGATCCCCCCCTGCAAGTACATATCGCCATGCATGTTCTCTCTACCCCTAACGAAGTAGAATCGGAGATTCATAAATAGGTAGAGAATACATGGTTGCCATAGCGTACATTAAAATATGATACTATCGAATTATTCAGATAAGGTGATACCTAACAATTGTATTCAAAGTAGAGTCAAAGTAGAGTCCGAACGCCATAACTTCCATGTTGTCTGAATCAGTGCTAGTGGCAGTTGTACGAGCACGAGACCCCTCTTCTTCAACTTCTCTTTGTATTTACTCTTTCGTCCACTCGATATATCCACAAGAGATATCCTATGATGAAACCTGCTCTTGGATTCTTATGCTAAATCTATAGTTTCTTAGCAAAAACGAGACTAAAGTGGACCGAGAAATTCTATATAGATCTCGAGTGATTGTATTAAAGAACTAAGAAGGTTTTCAATATAGGACTCTGATAAGACTTAATCGTGACTGGCAGAAAAATGCAATGCACAACATAGACTTATTGATACTGCATATTTCACCCCTTAATCAAGGCATGATTTATACTGGACGTATATATACGATGCTTCTCACTAGTCTTAAATACCCCCAAAATTGGGGTTTTTACCTTGACAGGAAAAAGAAGAATAACAGGGTAAAATGAGACTTTGGGTATTTGCTATATTATTCCAGATATAATTAAGACAAGCTCATACAATATTCTTAGAATGGTGAATTCTCTGTTAATATGTACCGGGACTAATACATATACTATGTGGCCCTTGAAATTTTCTAACATGTTTGTTTATTCGAGTATTAGGAGGCCATCTAGGCCAGTATAATCTATCGATGTATATTCGTGGTAGAATATGCGGAAGTGACATAAATTTGACATAAACATGTCATCACTTTCTATCCCTTACAAGTATACATAACAGAAAGGACCATGAACAGTGCTCAACAGATCACGAATCTTCATAGGAGTTCCACCAGCGTAGAAGAAGTCGACATAGTCGTCCAGGGTGGTGTTGGCGCTGGGGGGAGAGTCGAGGAAGGTGTTCGTGCCGGAGATGGCGGACTCGCTGAAGACGCGCTTCTTGGGGTCAAGCATCTGCCAGATCCACCAGACACGATCGAGCATGGAGTGGTGCAGGTAGAAGGCGGGATCGCCGGGAGACGTGAAGACGTCCCGGCCCGGGTCACCTCCGAGGGAGTAGTGACCCCCGCCGTGGATGCCAATGGTGCCGGTTCCAGGCTTGCCTTGTATTTGCAACTGGAAGTCGGCGACATTCTGGGGCTTGAGGATGGTGGAGAGGATGGAAGAGGCATTGGAATAGCGGCGGTTGACCTCGGAACTGAGATCGCGTTTGAGGCAGCGGGGGTTGTATGAAAGGGGTCCATTCGGATTGGTGATTGTTTCGCCGCCAGGACTATCCAGAGAGATAGGACCGAGGTTCACACTCATAGATTTGAAAGGACCCGACTTTATGCAACCACCACCGTTTCCCGTAGGGAGATGTATTGGGGTAAGTCCGGGTTGGTTGTTGCCGAGGATGATATCCTCGCGGGAGCCTTCGTAAGCGCCATCTCCGGACATGGAAGTGTCGGAGCCATCAAAGATGGGAGAGCTTGTCAGGCCAGTGGTGGCAGTCTTGGCCCAGTCCCAGTACTGCGCGCATTC